TGGTCTCGCCACTTACTTCGCCACACATGGCATTATTCACCAGACTTCATAGACTAATACCCCTCAACAAAATGGTGTTACCGAACGCAAAAATCACCATCTCCTTGATGTCGCTCGTTGTTTATCCTTTGAGATGCAAGTTCCTCGACCCTAGTGAGGGAAAACAGTTCTCACTACCGCTTATTTGATTAATCGTTTTCCTACCCAAGTCCTTCAAAAATAAACACCTCTTCAAGTTTTGTTCGGGTCTACCTCTTTCGGGTTCTCCCTTTCTCTTAAGACCTTTGGCTGTGTTTGCTTTGTCCATAATCATTCTCCCACAAGTGGAAAATTGGATCCTAGGTCACTGAAGTGTGCTTTTTTGGGTTATTTTGCCACCTAACAGAGTTATATGTGTCATCACCCTCCCACTCGCAAATGGTTTGTCTCCATGGATGTCACGTTCTTTGAGTCTCAGCCTTACTTTCCGCCTTCCCCGGTATCCCAGTCATCTCTTCAGGCAGAGCCTTGGTGTGAAAAGATTCCTGTTCTACCTATTTCTCTTCTGCCAGTGGTTGAACAGATAGAAGATAATGTTGTTGAGGAAGCAGACAAAGTTTATATCAGGGACAAGAACAGACAGCAAGTCAACTGGATGCAAGAGCCTACTCTCCCTTCACTACGAGTCTAGGTAATTCTAATTCTAGTACTCCTATTCATGATATTTCAGATCTTAATGTTCCCATTGCTAATAGGGAGGGAGTTAGGTCATGTACTCAACATCCTATTACCAATCATGTCTCTTATTTTAATCTGTCTTCCTCATATAAAGCCTTTCTGTTTAAAGTGTCTTCTGTGAGTTTACCTACCACTTTTCAGGATACTCTCTATTCCTGAATGGAAACATGCCATGATGGAAGAAATGAGAGTTCTCAGCAAGAACGGCACTTGGGAGTTAGTGGAGTTACCAAGAGGAAAAAATCCAGTTGGGTGTAAGTCGGTGTACACGGTAAAACACCAAGCGGGTGATTCCATAGAACGGTACAAAGCAAGGTTGGTTGCTAAAGGCTTCACTCACACTTATGGGATAGATTACCAGGAGACGTTTGCATCGGTTGCTAAGATGAACTCTGTGAGAATCTTACTCTCTCTTGTTGTAAATTTGGATTGGCCACTTCATCAGTTTGATGTGAAGAATGCCTTCCTTCATGGAGACCTAGCAGAAGAGGTCTATATGAATATTCCTCCTAGTTTTGCGGATGCTAAATCCAAAGGTAAAGTATGCAGGCTCCGAAAATCGTTTTACAGACTAAAGCAGTCCCCTAGGAGTTGGTTTGAAAGGTTTGCTCAAGCTATGCTGAAATATGAGTTCAAGCAGAGTCAAGCTGATCACTCCTTGTTTGTGAAACGCTCTCCGCATGGTAAGACCACAGCTCTCATTGTTTATGTTGATGATATTGTTCTGATAGGGGATGACGTTGAGGAGATCCCTCGGTTGAAAGAATACTTAGCCAAGGAGTTTGAAATCAAAGACTTGGGTTGTTTAAAGTATTTCTTGGGTATTGAAGTAGCTAGGAGCAAGGATGACATCTTTATATGTCAGAGAAAGTATGTGTTGGACTTACTAAAGGAAATTGGACTGTTTAGAGGTAGACCATGTGATACACCTCTAGAACCAGGCCAGAAACTTAGTGAGGATCAAGAGGGAGAGCTAGTAGACAGGGGGAGATACCAGAGATTAGTGGGCAAGCTCACATACGTATCCCACTCACGTCTAGACATTGCCATTGCTGTGAGCATGGTGAGCCAGTTTATGCATGCTCCTAGAACTTCCCACTTCGAGGCAGTTATGAGAATCCTAAGATACCTGAAGTCTTCTGTTGGAAAGGGTCTCTACTTCTCAAAACGTGGCCATCTCAGTGTGGAAGCATTTACTGATGCAGATTAGGCAGGATCAGTCACTGACAGACGATTAACTTCTGGATACTGCACATTTGTTGGTGGCAACCTAGTCACATGGCGAAATAAGAAACAGAATGTGGTTGCTCGATCTAGTGCTAAGGCAGAATTCAGGGATATGGTTCAGGGGATATGTGAGTTACTATGGATTAAACTATTGTTAGGAGACTTGGGAATTCATCAGACTGACTCCATGCGACTATACTGTGACAACAATGCCGCAATCAACATAGCTCATAATCCAGTTCAGCATAATAGAACTAAGAACGTGGAGAATGATAGTATGCACCTTTTCAACTCCCCCAACTGAATATATATTATTAGGCAGTCTTTTATCATTTCTCATTTGAGAAATTGCAGGTATGTACCCAAGATGATAAATATTCAATACACAATATATTATGTATTTGTTTACCCATACCTCAAATCATGTGGCTTGTCCAACTGCTGACGCTAAACATATCCACACAAAGTAGTCACCTATAACAATATTGCTTGTCCAACAGTTCACACACCAAAATGTATCCACATATTTAACAATTATGACACAAATCATAAAGACCGTTGTTTCCTTTGCATCATTACTAGATAAATAAGGAGTGTGTCTTGTTTTTGGAGCAATTCCTGCCTGCAAATGGTTATTCATCATTGTCAGCTCCACCTGCATGTAGCCAGAACTGTTTGATTTTTTCCGCCTATCAAACCATATAAATTCTTTAAATTATTCTTTCAGCCAATTGACCCAGGCACCCAGCTAGGTTCTTTAATAGAAATCCCTTGCCTAGACCTCTCGCAATTCAATGCCAACATCCTGGATATCTACTTGAACACCCATGCACATGGATGGAATTAATAAGTTATCACTGTCTCTTATCTGTTCGGAGTCCTTCACCATGCCTTCTCTCAATTCCAATGATGTCAACATTCAACCATTGCCAACTTTTTCCTTCCAGGTGGTAACATCTGCCACATCTTGTTAGTGTTCCAAATTTTCCACCTTTAATCTCTCTATAAGCCAACTGTTATACAATACAATTAGGAGTCAAACTAGTGAACCTGCAGGTTTTCTGAAGTTCTTTTACAGCACACATTCCCCCAGTCATCTTTAGCGAAGCATCCATGCTCAGTAAATTACTCTCTACTTGGAAAAGCATCCCCTTGCTGAAAATAATATCTCAGGCAAATACTTGCTTCTTTTCTTCCGCATACACTAGATGCTTTCTGCTAAGCAGCTGTCGGGTTTGTGTTCACCTCATTCCATATTTATATCCCTACTGTATGAACCACCTAATTGATGCATTGGGAATTGTTTAACGCTTGCAATATCTCATGAAAATTAAATTCACGTCCTGCAATGCTTCCAACTAAGTATGTAAACCATGCATGCCCCATGTGGTAGTAATCCCAGTTGTTACCTTACTACCATTTTTTTTTTTGGGTTCTTCTTTACTCTGCTTGTATATTGAGTTAAAAAAAAAGTATATTTTCAGGTGCCAAGAACAGCAACTAATGATTTTATTATCTACTGTGGACAATATCTCACCTAGGTCCAATACTTTCTCTCGATCAAGGCTTTATCTTCTGATTTTGAGACACAGCAAGAACCATATATAGGACATGCAAACCAGTTTGTCTTTGTTGTGCATCACCATAACATATAAGAGTAAATTCAATCCATTTCTCAAATATGGATTCTAGAAGTGATTGATGTGTCAAATTTTGTCACTGTTGTTGAATAACTTGCAAACATCTTTCCTTGGAGCCCTGCTGTCTGCAATTTTATACCTTGAAGTCGGGTGTCAACATGTTCTGGTGATTTTATTGCATTTATAATTCATTGCAGCTAATACAATTGCACTCTTTGCAACTTGAATCACTCAACCATCACAATAGAAAGCATTCCACGAATTTCACATTCTCATTGTCAATAATCATATGCTTCTGCATTATGAAATTCAGGATTTAGAAAGTAACTCGGAGATTGTAACTATATTCTCAAAGACACATACCCAAATTCCCCACTTTATTTATCAACAGAGTGAAAGCCACTTTAAGCTGGTATAAATCAATAATTTTCATATTTTACAAACCCTTGAGTACTCACAGCAATTATCCAGCAACTTTACAGAATCATTCCACCAAATCACAGAATGCCAAGAAACTCCACATTTTTGCAACACTGAGCATGCATTGCTTTCTTATTCTTACTATTTTCATTGACATTTTTTCTTCTCATCATTCCTCACGAATCCCCAGACTGAAATTTCTTCGACTGTCAATGGATTTTCATTTCCCAAAGTCACTGAAATAGATAAAGAAAGGAAGCAAAAAGAATTTCATGCTTGCTTGATAGATTGTATCATTATCAGCACAACCAGCCTCGAGGAATACATGGCACTTGAGAAACCAAAAAGAAAAACTGCATATAACATCCATTCCTTCAAATATTTTCCCCACATCCTACCCTCAAGAAAAGAAACCTTAATTCATGGAATGATAGAGTGAAATGATCCAGAGGCAGGCAGAACTCAGAAATAAATAAATATCATATAATATTGCAACATATGGCCAATACGAGGTTGGATTTTGTTGTTAAAAAAAATAAAAATGTAATTGATCTTATTTCAAAGTTAATCATGGTAAAAAGTGCCAATGAAAGTTGATAAGATCTACTTTTTCCATAGGAAGGACATTGAAGTTTTGCAGTTGGTGTGTTTGACACACTACTTGCAATTACTTATCAAAAAGGGAAAAAAGAAAAACTACTTAAAACTAGTTTTTTTTAACAAGTACTCCTTGCAATTAGTTTTGACTTGCAATTTTCTTTTTTGACTTCCGCAAATATGAAACATGCAGCCTAAACAAAATCCATAGGTATGAAATTCGCCATTTAATATCAGATGAACATTCATGGAGCAATGCATGCAAATTTTTAGGCTGTTCTGCAAATTTAGACATGAAATAGTACAAACTTCAATTAACAATAATATCACTACAAGTACATCATATAGAATGCTGTATCACCACTTCAATCATAGAAGTGGTGATCTTAAACTACGTACCTTAGCCTTCTTCAACCTAGACTTGTTGTCAGCGCACCAGGCTAGGGCAGGAGCTACCTCTTTATTTTGAAGAGCATCAATCACCTTTTTTGCTTCATTAAATACATCAATATCAACAAGATCCTGATACAAAAAGATCAAGATTAACCAGCATAGCCTAAAGCACATAACAGAACAGGCAGTGTGCAGTTTTTAAAGACCATTAACGTGCATTATAATGAGAATTATTGAAGAAAGAATAGCTAACACATTGCCCTTGGGGACCTAGACAGTTCAACAAAGAAATATAATTGTACAGCAATAGTACATGTACATGGCATGTGAATGATTGTTGTTCTTCCGCTCTCTTTTATCCTCATAAATGAAGTTGTAATTCCTGGCCTATGTACCAGATTTGTTTAATCAATTTATTTATTTAATTTTTTTTTTAACAAACATATAAACATAAAAACTAAGGGTGGACTTTGGTGCAGCGGTAAGGTTGCTACATTGCGACCTGGGTGTCATGGGTTCAAACTTTAAACCACGGAAACATCTCCATCGACGGGGATAAGACTTCCTGTGTACATCTGACCCACTGCAGAACCTGCAGGGCAAGAGTCTCGTGCACTTGGACTGCCCTTTCATATAAATAGAAAGACTTTCCTACAGTAGCTGAAATGCAGAAGGAATCTAAACCCATTTTAAAGATCATAAATTGAAGAAGAAACAAAGCTTCAGTTCATATTATGATATATTTATCTTACTTGGTATCTTGTACTAGAAACATAATCTAGCAACAGAACAATGAAATGGACTGCAGAAGGTAATTCTTTTCTTGTGGGCATCTCACTTAAAAAGCATTCTTTTCGATCTAGTACTACTAAATTTGGTAGGGTGAACACCACTATGAAATACAATATAAAAGAAAAGATAAGAAAACTACAAGCAACAACAACAACTACAACAAACAAACTCTGTGAACTGATGCAAACCTTAAACCTACTTTTGACATCCTATAATAGGGGGACTATGGTGATTCCGTAGTATATCTCCCTTGGAAGAACATTTGATAGGTAAAAGGGCCTTCCAATGAGTCCCTTTTTCCATTTGTAGTGTTGCTTTTCAGGTAATCTTGAATATTTTGGGCCGGAGAGCATAATGCTCCCAATTGGTGTCATATGTATAGAATGGCAAAAGAGATGGTAGTGAGGTGGTTAGGGAGCTGTGGAACATGCTTCAAATTATGCCATTTTTGGGATTCAGTTGCCTAGTTTGGGTATGGAGTTTCTCAGATGCTGGCATGCCGGTAGTTGTTGAAAAGTGCTATGAAGGCATGGAAAGCGCCACCACTTTATCTCATGTGGGATATTTGGTAGGAAAGAAATAGGTGCATATTGTGGAGGTTGAGAGCAGGGCCAACACTGAGTTTTTCGCGGCCCAAGGCGAACATTAAAATGGGGGCTTTTTATATAAAACTACCAACAACAACAACAACAAAAAAAAAAAAAAATGAAAATTACTTAATTTTATTTAAATTGAATTAGTTTTTCTTTTTTTTCCTTTCACATACAGAACAACCATGATTATAAAATCAATCTAAATTGAAGAGAAATTCAACTGAGATAGATTATCTAAAACGCAATAGAAATTCAATTCATAACTACAATTCAAAGAACACCCACAAAATTGGTGAACAATTGAAGAAAATATTTGATTCAATCAAAACAAAAGCTTGACAAAGTTTAAATTAAATAAAAATCAACAAAAAATTAGATTAAAAAAATAGGCATTGAAATTAGATTTATGGCACAAATTAAAATTAAAAGCAATGCAATCAATAATTTAAAAAAAAAAAGAAAAAGAAAAAGAAAAAAAAGAGAGGAGATATTAAATTGAAAAGCGAAGTTCTCAAATCAAATAAGAGCAATGAATTTAAAAGAGCACTGCATCGATTATCTCATGGCCTAGAATTTGGACTCGTCGTTTGTTTGGTCTCGGCATAGTTTGCTTCCAACGCTTACAGATGGGAAGGAATAGAAAGCACTACGTTTAATTGATAAAATTTTATTATTCACATACTTTACCCAATATATTGTTGTAATTCAATTTGGAACCCCGCATTGTTTTGGAGGCCCTTTGTCTGGACTGTGTCATGAAGTTAAGAAACTTGGGTTGGGCCCAAAGTTTTAAAAAGCGTCTGCAACCATTACATAATGGTTGTGGTGGTTACTACCCACCCGTTACGGCCACTATAATAGTGCAACGGAAATTCACATGTTTAACAGTCGTTTTAGTGTTACGTACTGGCCGTAGCAGTCCGTTACACACCATTACACACTTTTACAATATTTTGAATAGCTTCCTTTTCAAACAAAAAAAACAAAAAAAACAAAAAAAAAAAAAAACTTATAAAAAGAAAACAAATACTCAAGTAATCCAAACCTAAAGAAAAAATCTTATATGAATTTTTTTTCTTTATAATTTATTTTTCAATTTTTATTTCATTAAATTAGCATGTAAAATAAAAAATATATAAACAGTGGTTATATTTATTTTTATAATCATTTTATTTAGTATTTAATTGTAAATATTTTTTATTTTGTTACTATAATATGTTGTCTAAAAAATGTCTTTAAAAAAAATAATAAAATCAGTAGCTCAAAAATAATTTTTGTTTATGGCACAATTTTTATTTTTATAATCATTTCATTTAATAATTATGCATTTTTTTTATTCAGTTAGTTCATGTATTGGTCAAAAATAATTTGTAGACATGTAAAATCAATTGTTTTTAAAGTCATTAACTATTGAAAAAAAATGTAAAAAGCTCCTTTTATAGTGATTTAAAAATATGAAATATATTGTATCATATTTAAAAACTAACAAAAATTGATAAAAATCTATTTTAAACCCCAATAAATGTGATTTTGAAAAACAAAAAAGTATGTATCGGTAAGTTTTTTTTTCAAATTGTGAGAAGAAAAAAAAAATCACGGTTCTAGTTACTGCAACGGTCGAACCGGTTGAACAGGGAACCGGGCCTTGTTTTGGTTCGGTCAACCCCCTAAAATCAGAGTAGGATGAAAACCGACTTAGAAATGGAAAACCGGTAGACCCGGCGGTTGAACCGGGAAAACCAGTGACCCGGTCCCGGTTTGGTGGGTTGGACCGCCGTTTTTTTTATATTTTATTTTCTTTCTTTCTTTCCTTCTTATATATATATATATATTATATAAATATATTTCAAAATTTTGACTAAAAATTCTTACTTCAAGAGTCTCCTCTTATAAGGAAGAGTCTCATTAAAAGTTTGAGAAGATTATAAAAGTCAAAAAAAAATTTCAAAGAGAACCTATAAAATTCTATGTGGAATTCAATCAAATTATTTGAAATATATTGATTGGAGGGAGAGTTGAAAATTTCATTTCCCTCCAAAATTAAACCTAGCATTCAATCAATTTGTTTGGAGGGAATGTTTAAAAAATTTAATTTCTTTAAAACAAGTGACTTTTTTTATCAATTATGACTTTATTAAATGTTATTAATAAATACTATACAACAATTTTTATTTTTATTTGAGTATTTATATATATTTTTATTTATTTATAATTTTTAATTATATAATATTAATTATGACGTCATGGTTCGACCGCTTTGACTCGACGGTTGAACCGGTGATCCGTCCACCTGGTCCCTTTTCCGGTTCGCTCACCGGTCCGGTTTTCAAAACATTGCTGCAATCGTTATGCTACGACCGTTATACCCTGCAACCGCAACTTCACCACTGCGACCGCAACCGCTTTTTGAAATTTTGGCTAGGCCTTAATTTAGAGTTACTAATATTACATTGATTAAAAGTATTTTGGGGCCTTAGATTTGGTTAAATTTTGGCGCCCAAGGCGGCAGCCTTGCTCACCTTGGGCCTGGTTGAGAGGCCAATCCAAAATAGTAAGGGCCATGTTGGGCTATGAGCCTATGAGCATCTTTCTGTTTTGTATGTCAAGAAAATTCCTAAAGTCTTTATTTTTGTAGATTTTAAAGGGGATATGCCTTTTACTAATGTAGCATAACCTTTGACATTACAGTATATACTTCGCTTATACACCAATTGTGCCCCTGTTATGTTGCTTTCAGTAAAACCCTTACTTACAAAAATAAAAAATTAAAGAATTTTGTAGTCAAACTAATGCTTGAAGTATAAATCTCCAGGCAATCTTGCAAAACATTGAAATGAATCAAACCACCCTACAGATATAATAGAATGTAATTGCACCAAAAAAATACCTGTATATTGCTGCATTCTGCCAGCTTTATTGCAGTGTCGTAATATGACATTCGCAACATGTAGTCCACCAAGATCCGCTTCAAACGCGTGTTGTTCCATTCTGATAGGTTATCTGCATCTGCTGATTCTAAATGATCAAGGCGAGCTCGGCACCTCTGTGCTTGCAAGTGCTCTGTACGGCTCCCTTCTTCCAACTGATTGATAACAATCATATATTCATGTCTATATATTAGTTTGATGGTTACTTTAAACTACAAATATATACAAAAACATGCATAAATATGTTTTTATACATACAGATATATAACAATGCAAAGTAACAGTTCTTGATTCTCTGTGAACCTATTAAGGAGAGTTTTTGGTTTAAATTTAGATAACAATTTCTTTGAATTTGACTGCAGCAAACAATCAGAACAAATTTTTGCAATTACCATAACTACTGTTTCAGACAAGTTCTGCACCAAATCAGTTCTTTTATTTATTTATTATTATCAGCAACAACAAATATGGACTGCTCAGAGTCAATTTCAATTCACAGTGTTTTAAATTACCTCTGAAAGCTAAGGAAAACAAAAGAAATTCAATGTTGAATCTCAGTTTCATTTGTTTCTAAACCCAGTTCCCAGAAAGGAGTAATTATCAGTTTTGCCCTTACTTTCTATGAAAAATACTTTTAATTTGTGGTCTTTACTGACATTTTACTAGTTCATTTTCTTCTATTTTCTCTCCCTTATCTTCACCAAACAAGATGAGGGGGCTAAATTATCCCAGAGATACCACTTTCCTTTTTCTTTTCTCTATCCACTAATTTCCAACAAAAGAAGCCACAGTTTGTTGTAGTTAAAGTCAATTTTCTCATAACTCATAAAATAAATTATGATTCTCACACAATTTTGAGAGCAACCAAGCAGAAGGAGGTTAGGGTTTGGTGGGGATACAATACAATACATATATATATACCTTTCTTTTGAGGCCTTGCAATCTGGAGACAAGTGAATTGAGGTGATGAACAGCTTCGTCAGGGGACATGTCGGCTTCCGCGGCGTCGGATACGCCGGAGATGACGGCGGACATCTCCTTCTCGACGATGCGGTGGTTGGCGCGGATCGTCTTCTTGTAGTGCTCGAAGGGGACTCTCAACAACTGGTGTTCGAGTTTCAGAGACTCCGCTAACTGACTCAATTTCGTCGACGGAGCTGCTGCGGCGGCGGCGGCTGCGACGGCGGCCATGGCGGTGGATGAGGCGGAGTTGCCGTTGGGTAGCGTTTCCATTTCCATGGTTTCTTGTCTTTTGAACAGAGAGAGAGAGAGAGAGAGAGAGAGAGAGGGAGAGCAATTGGATCGGGTTGTTAGAGAGAAGAGAACTGAATGATTAAGCGACTTCGAGTGAATGACTTGAGAAAAAACGACACCGTCTCGTCTTGTTCGTTCGTTGCTTTCCGATTAGTTTTGGCACATGCCTTGCTTCCTCTCGTTTTCACGAGGTGGTTGGAAACTAATTTAGGGGAAGTTTGCAGGCTCAAATAATCAAAAAGTCAAAAAACTAAAAAGTCAACCCACTTCCCAAACGAAGGCTAAGAGTATGGTAAATTATAACTAGTGTAAATAAAGTTAGGTGATACTCTAAAATTAATTAATAATTTTTTTTATCACAGACTCACAAGTCTTTAGATTTGGTTAAGTGGTTGGTTAGGAAATTCTAATTAAGTATATTTTTTAATTTTTTATAATAAAAATATATAAAAAAAATAAAGAAAGTGATTAAAAAATAAAAAGATGTTAATTGATATAATCCAAGTGTATGTATGTAAAAAAAAATATACTTTTTTAGTTCTTTCTAAACACCTACTTAGTTTATTAACAAATAAAATAAGTTTTGTCCTCAGTTTCTCAAGATGCGTGAGACGCAGTCTTGAGCGGTGTTTTCTTTTTTCGTCTCTTGTTTTGGCGTAGTCAGAATGTGTTTTAGATATTTTTGCATGGAACCTGTGTCAATTTTAAACTTAAAGCTGCTCATTCATTTTGTTATCTCGTTATTTTGCTGATCACATCTTGTTATCGCTTATTAAATCATCTCGCATGATCATGAGTTTTCAAAATAGCCGACTTTGTGGAGCGTGTAAGTCCAGCTCTCAAAGTTGCATTGTGCATATCATTTGCATTCTGCCTCAGAATTATGATGTTTTAATTCCTTGTAAAGGGATACGTAGGCAGTCTGCAGGCGCAACCATTTATTTTTGTCTTGATTGTTTGTCCAAATCTTACGGCATTGTCAAAATGGATCGTCTTCGGGCTTTGACATTCGCTCACGTCATTTCATGACTTCGAGTTCTGTCAAAGAGGGGCAGCTGTAGACACTCCATTTTTGACGGCCCTACGACTTGGGCACCATTGCATGCACACCTGATGATGAACGTATATTCTCATCCAGTGCTCGAAGTCCTCAGTGAAAAGCTGTAGTTTTGAGCTATCCAAACCTTGCACATCTGTTACCCAGTTTCTTAGACCAAACCTTGTGTTTTTCAAGCTTGCAACCATTGATAGCTTGTCGGACACCTTTAAAGGCTGTCGGCCATCACTTTTGGGCTGCCAGCCACTGATGTGGCTTGCCGGTCACCAGTGATGGCCGGCTGGCCACCAGTTTCTTTGCAGATATTTTGTGTCGGCTGTGCCAACTGTTTGCACAGATGCATACATCTTCACCCACGTGTAGGGCTGGATATCCTTGTAGAGAATTCATGTTTTTATATATAGGAGACCCCTCTCTCATGTTTTAAGATTAAAAAATTTTGAGATCAAAAATTTTCCTCTATTTTACAATTCTCTCTCTCTCTCTAGCAAATTCCTATACTTTTGCCTACAAATCCTTAACCTTTGCCTAGACACCCTTAACCAAATCTCACCATCTTTCAGATGAGGTACTTTTGAGCTTGGTTTGAGCTCTAGAGGGTGTGTGTACTTGGTTTTGTTGTCTAGAATTGGTCTTCTCTTCAAAAGGTATAAGGCTTTGCCTATTTGCTTATTTTCTTTGCTATTATTCCTACTGTTTTTCCATTATTTTTGGGCTATCAAAACTATGTATTTTTTGGCTGAAGCTTGGGTCTAAGGGCCATTAAAGGTTGAGGGGTTGATAGCCCTTCTTTGTACCTTGTTTTGGAGGTCTTTGCCCTTGTGTTTCCCACCTTTTTACTATCGTTTTCTAAGCTTTTAAAAACAGATTTTTAGAACTTTTTCAGTGGCCAAAATCATGTTTTGAAGTCCAAATTTAAAGGGGTTAGCCTCTGTGGGAGCCAAATTTCATTGGATCAATAGGGACAAATAGACGAGTCCAGTCTGGGACATAACCTTTATTCGGCATTGATCCTAGTCAATTGAAGAGCCGAATAAAATAATCGGCCATTCCAACCAGTAGAACAAATGCTGAGTAGAAGTACATGTAAAGGATCGAGGATGGGCCTGGCCCTAAGGCCCAAAGAGAATAATATAAATACAGGATCTTCAGTCAGAGAAAGGTATGTGAGAACTAGTATGCTTAACTTGAGATACAAGCAATCAAGAGAGTATACATTGACTTATCTGTCGGAGTGCTAATTCCGGCACCCCCGACCGGAGTGTTCATTCCTTTTAAGGTGGCTAGTTGAGGATCACGAGCATCCCCCAGGATCAGAAGAGTATTTCCAAACCTCCTCCCCACAATTGGCGCCGTCTGTGGGAATACTCAAATACATCCATGGTGGGTGTAACGGAAGACCCTCCGATAATTACTGATGAGACCACACAGAGAGACGACCTCACTCCAACAAACATGCTTGGACCAGAGACTATCGCCCCAAGACGGGCCTTGAACTTCGCCTCACCCTCAACTTCAGCGCATGAGACAATGCAAACGATCATGGAACAAGCAAAGCAAAACGAATAGAGGTTGGAGAACATAATCGCTGAGAAGGAACGTCTCCGTCAGGATTTGGCCTTGGAAGTGGCGAAGTCTAAACAAGCTGTACGCCAAGATCCAGAACGACCTCTGAGGGCAGGTAGTCGACGGCCTCGAGCCCAATAACAAGACACTGACAGCAACTCCGACTCATTGTCCCCGGAGCCCAGAAAGAAGGGACGACCCGAAACTACCAGTTCCTTTGAAGAGAGTCCACGTACAAGGCATAAGCGAAGACGAAATGGTTCAGACAAAGAGGACCAGCACGATCCCTTTGTGCGACGGATCGCAAATGTAGTACTACCCAAGAAGTTCAAAGCCCCGTCGTTCACCTTGTACGATGGGAAATCGGATCCCACGGATCATATCCGTCACTATAAGCAAGCCATGACGTTGCATGCAGACGACGAAACTCTCATGTGCAGAATATTTCCGAGCAGTTTGGGACCGTTGGCAGTTAGATGGTATTATAAGTTAGAGCCGGCGTCGATTAAGAGTTTCCATCAATTATAAAAATCCTTCAGGGTAAGATTCATCACCAATGAGGTCCAGCCGAAACAAGCCGACTCTCTTTGGGCAATGCAGATCCAGCCAGGAAAAACACTAAGAGCGGATTCGACGTGCTATTGGGAGTGCTTCAATCTTGTTGATGACGCTTGCAAAGACTCTATGGCCGTCACCACCTTTAAAATGGGTTTATATCTTGACAGTGCTCTCTGCAGCTCCTTAACTAGAAGAACCCCCAAAACAGTCTGGTCGTTGATGAAAAAAGTTGAGGAATACTGCAAAATGGCCTTATGGGTTAAAGTTGGAAACGTAGCCAACAAGACAGCCCCTTTTGAAATTGCGCAGCCGTTAAATTCTGTACCACCATAGAGCCCTGAACCACGGCATCGGGCTAAACAAGACAAGATGAGGGACTCTCGTCGATCAAGCGACCAGTGCCCTCACCGAGCAAATGAACAACTACAAGTCGATGGCAGGTGCACAAGGCGCTCAGATAAGAAATATACGGAGTTATTAGAGTTGATCAGCGCGGTTATGTCCAAAGTCTAACACCTTCCGTTCTTCAAATGGTCGTCCAAAATGGTGGGACCTCCTGAAACAAGAAGATAGGATAGACGGTGCGAGTATCACAAGGATCACGACCATGATACTGAGAGTTGTTACGCATTGAAGGATCACCGGGAGGAATTGGTACAAGATGGTCGGCTATAACAGTATGTCTGCAAAGGCAACTCAACCAAAGCAATAGCCTTACGACAGGATTCACCTCCACTCGGCGTGATCCACATGATATACAGCCTGCCAATGTCATCCGCGGTGCATACGATTCAGTCGAATCCCAACCCTCAAAATCAACTCACTTCTAAACGGTCCCATGAAGTTGCGAGCATTACTTTTGATGATTCAGATCTGGCCGGAGTGGCACTCCCCTACATCGATCCCTTGGTAATCGAGTTACACATAAACCGATTCACCGTTGAGCGCGTACTCATTGATCCGGGGAGCACATCAGAAGTTATGTATTACAAGACATTCACCAAACTCAGCTTCTCCGAATCGGATCTTTCTCTGGCACCTTATCCACTATTCGGCTTCAACACCAATCTAGAATACCCGTTGGGAAAAATCACACTACCCGTTCGAGCGGGCTCCTGAACAGTGGAAGTGGAATTCTTGGTCGTCAAGCTATCGTCGCCGTATAATCTCATCATGGGACGAACTTGGTTGCATACTATGCAGGCCGTGCCAAGCACCTATCATCGGCTGCTACGTTTCTCGACAGAACACAGCATTGACCAGATCCGTGGCTCCTAGAAATCGGCACAAGCATGATATCTCCTTACTAGAAAGACGCCAAAAGAGTTGCAAGTGAATTCTATTGAGGTGCCAGATCAAGAGAGCTTCGACGATGTTGGGCGGCTCGCAAGTGAAAAGGCCACGGAAGCCCTAGATCGAGTTGAAATCGACGGAAACCCAGACAGGTTCTTTATGGTCGGCACCTCCCTGAATCAAGCCGACAGACAACAGCTAATTTCCTTCCTGCTCGGCAACCTTGATGTATTTACGTGGACTCCATATGAGATGCTGGGTGTGGATCCGTCTGTTTCGCAGCACCGTTTAAATGTTGACCCTAAATGCAAGCCGATTATTCAAAAAAATCGACGGTCAGCTGCAGAGCACACTGCCGCCGTTGTTGAAGAGGTTGACCGGTTGCTTGACGCTAGGGCAATCAGAGAAGTGACCTACCCTACATGACTCTCGAATACTGTGGTTGTAAAGAAGAAAAATGGGACTTGGTGAGTCTGCGTTGATTTCACAGACCTAAACAAAGCCTGCCCTAAAGATTGTTTTCCTCTCCCCAGGATAGACCAACCTATAGATGCTACAGCATGTCATCAGCGTATGAGCT